CCCCCTCCCCCCCCCCACCCATTCTCCCCCCCCCTTCCCCCCCCCCCCCCCCCCACTCCCCCCCACCCCCCCCCCCCCCCTCCCCCCCCCCACTTCCCCCCACCCCCCTCCCCCCCACACACCCCCCCCCCCCCCACACCCTCCCCCCCCACACACACACTCACACACACTTCTCCTCCCCCCCCACACACACACACTTCTCCTCCCCCCACACACACACTTCTCCTCCCCCCCCACACACACACTTCTCCTCCCCCCCACACACACACTTCTCCCCCCCCCACACACACACTTCTCCTCCCCCCCCCCCCCACACACACACACTTCTCCTCCCCCCCCCACACACACACACTTCTCCTCCCCCCCCACACACACACACTTCTCCTCCCCCCCCACACACACACACTTCTCCCCCCCCCACACACACACTTCTCCTCCCCCCCCCCCCACACACACACACTTCTCCTCCCCCCCCCCCATACACACACTTCTCCTCCCCCCCCACACACACACACTTCTCCTCCCCCCCCACACACACACACATTTCTCCTCCCCCCACACACACACACACTCCACCCTCCCCAGCATCCACTCCCTTCCCCGTTCATGTCAGGTGGATGTCCCATAGTGCTGGACAGTCAGGGATTGCACCGAAGCTGGTGGTTGGGATCAGGAGGGGTGGAGGGTGGGGAGCGGTAGGAGGGTAACTGAAGGCACAGTCGAAGAGAAGGATCTTGAGGCACACACACCCCACCCCCCTCAAACACCTCCCTGTACTCCTCCACCATACACTCCCCCACACCCTCAAACAAGCCTCCCACAATATAGTCTCCCTTCCCCCTTTCTCTCCCCCTAAAAACACCCACACTCCCCCCCTCGGTCTTGCCTCCACCTCCCCTGTTGTGTGGGTTGTGTGTTTCAGTGGCGTGCCTGCTTGACAGTATGAAATGTGGTTGAGGCTGTAGATGTTCTTCATACATATTTGTGTGCATCAATCACTAATATTTTTTTTCATTAACAGATGCTGGAGCCTTTGGGAAGTCCCACAACATTCCAGATGATGCTGGTAGGCCTTATTTGACGCTTTAGTCTTTCCTACATGAGAGAGAAGGGCGGGGAGAGTGTGGCACAGAGAAAGAGGGGAGAGCAGCACAGAGACAGGAAAAGGGACAAAATTAAGCAATTTACGCCTTAAAATTGATTTGAATGAAATGTTTGGTGTTATGGAGACCAATTCAGCGGCTAGACCATGCCCATGATGTCCCGAAGGAAGCGAGGAGATGAGTACCCAATCAATGTGAATTTTGATGTAGTGGGCAATGTAGGCCAGGATAACCTGGAGGACAACACCGAAAATCATAGAATCTTACATGACTGGAGGATGCCATTCGAAAGAGCTATCCAACTAGCACCGTTCTTACCCCATAGCCCTGCAATATTTTCCTTTTTAAGTACCTATCATAATTCCCTTTTGAAAGCGATTATTGAATCTGCTTCCACCATCCTTTCAGCCAGTACATTCCAGACCTTAACAAATCTGGGTTTAAAAAAAAATTATCTCTGTCTCCCCTCTGGTTCTTTTCCCAATTATCTTAAATCTGTGTCCTATGGCTACCAACCCACACGCCGAGGAAACAGTTTCTCCTTATCTACTCTATCAAAACTCTTCATAATTTTGAACATCTCTATTAAATCTCCCTTTAACCTTCTCTGCTCTGAGGAAAATAATCCCAGCCTCTCTAGTATCTCCACACAATTGAAGCCCCTCATCTCTGGTAGCGTTCGTGTGAATCTCTGCACCTCCTCCAATGCCCTGATGTTCTTCCTAAAGTATGTTACCTAGAATTGGACACAATACTCCAGCTGAGATCTAACCAGCGATTTGTAAAGGTTTAATATAACTTTGCTTTTGTACTCTATGCCTCTATTTATCAAACCATAGATCCCATATGCTTTCTTAACAGCTTTGTCAACTTGTCCTGTCTGCCACCTTCATTGATTTGTGTATGTGAATCCCCCAGGTCTCTCTGTTCCTGCATCATTTACCTTATATTGCCTCTCTCCATTCCTCCTCCCAAAATGTGTTTCATTGATTCAAGTGGACTTAAAGGACCACCGTGACTTTGATATTTGAAAGAAAAATGTCTTTTCTATATTTTTTTCCTAACTTCATGTCAATGGGTTGTTTTTTAATTGGATGTTGTTGGCAGTGTAGATGGGAGCTTGGCTATGTAACTTTCACTTTTGCTTCTAATATTTGGGGAGTGGAAATTAAACGAAAAATAAAAATGTGAATGATGAAAGGAGGAGGTTGGAAGAATGTGGTGTTTAAAAACATCAGAGCTGTGCCACTAAACCCCACAACTGAAGAAACCCTGCTACGTAGTTGCATTTCATGTTTCCGGCCACGAGGTGGACCAGAGAGTCAGCAGCGGTCACCACTGCTTCCAGCCAGTTTATCCGTCCCTTGACCTGATTCCGACATTTCGTTGCCAAAGCATGTCACCTTCAAGCCAGAGCAGCTCCCAAGGAGACCACACGTACTTCCTCCCCAAGAAGGATTAGCTCCAATGGAGGAGCAAACACCAGCACAGAAGCGATGGTCTTCTGTTCTGCAAAAAGACTACTTGACTTCATCTCTGCCACCTGCACTCCTACCTCACGCTAGAAAAAATCATTCTAAACGCCTCCAAAAACTCTTATCCACGCCTTGTCATCTCCCGACTGGATTTTTCTAATGTGTTCCTTACTGGTTTCTCTAGCTCCATTATTCATAAACTTAATTATCTAATAATCTGCAGCGAACTCCACATGTCCATCACCCCAGTCCTCCACAGGGTCCTCTGGCTTCCTGTCACTCAGTGGATTGATTTCAAGGTCCTACCCTTCCAACCCTAGCGTCTCCCTATAATTTCATTCTACCACCTGCTCTGCTCAACCCTTCTCAGCTCTGCTAACTCAGGCTTGTCCTGTGTCCTCCGCCCTACCTGCATCGTCATCAGTGACCTGAGTGTTCCAATTCTGTGTCCCTTTCGAAACTCCTACCCTTAACCCCTCTGACTTGCCTTTCTTCTCTATCTGTCTTTTAAATACTGCCTTAAAACCTACCTCTTGAATAATGTCTATTAGTCACTTTTCCCCTCTTCCCTCAGTAAAGCACCCGGAAGCATTATGTGAAAGGCACTGTAGAAATGCAAGTTATTCTGTATTACCAGAGGGAAATTATATCTCGTGGAGATATGGTGTACCACTCCCAATTATTTTAATCAATTACAGTGGAACCCTTTTATAAGGCTCGTTCACCTACAAGATGTGTGCCCTTTAGACCTACAACTGGCTGCAAAATGCAAGATGTTCGCTTGAGCACATGCACTGTCCTGCTAAAAAAAAAANGACCGACTCCAGGTTGTTGCCAGAGTGAATTCCTGCACGCTGCATATGTGCAATGCACACAGGTAGTAACGAGCTAATAACCTGGAAGTCGGTCATTTTTTGGATGGTGCATAGCTGACCAGAGAGTATGCACAGGGGTTACCTGGCTACCTTGCTCTTTATAGCAGCAAGATTGACAGTCAACACTGCCTACCAACCAGCTGGTGCCTTATAATGAGCCTGCATTATATGCTGTTACTCAGAGCAACCTGTAATCCTTTCACTGAATTTGGATGCTCTGCTGGGTCTGATCTGGCACATGGGGTTTGTTCATCCATCGTATGTATGTGTCTAAGGCTGTTGGTACTCTTTGAATGGTTGCAGATCATGGGCTGAGTCTTAATTGCTCAAGTGAAGATTTCAATTGAATGTGAATAATATGATCACTGTTTGTGTGCGCGAAGTAAGGATGGTTTTTGATACATGCAGGGTCATGTATTGCTGCGCTTGAGTACAGTTATAGTTGCCACAACAGTGGTGTAGGAGCCATAGCCCAGCCTGGCTGCGGGGTGACTTCCTACCTAGAGAAGCACAATTTACAAATGGTGCTGACTTCTACTATTTAACCCGAACTTGATGCAGGTGAGGCTGTGGAGTTTTGAATGAGCTGCACCTTGTGGATAGTGGAATTGGGGAGAACGGCGAGGAGTGTGTTTAAGAAATCAAAGCGGGAGGTGACAAAGGCATCAGTGAGGGTTTCAATGGCATTTGTTGTAAGATAGGGGGCGGGAAACGAAGTGGTGGAAAGTAATGCTGGTCAGGGACTGGATATCGGGTAGAAGGACAGCGACAGAGTGAGCACCAGCGCAGTCACGATAGAGAGAGAGCGGGGAATGGGATTAGAGGAGAGAGCTCCAGTTAGAGAATGAGCACCTTCTGTGTAATAATTGCTCTGACGTTCAGCGAAAGAGAGAGATAATCTGCTTTAGTCATGAAGAAATACATGGCCAGTAACTGAATCTGTTCTTCGCCTCTTCAGGGTGGTGATGTCATGAAGCTGGAGAATGGACAGTCGAAGCTCGGTCTGCCTCCCCTCAACCTCGAGCAACAGGAGGCACTGCAGAAGGTGAGGCATCGGGAAAGCTTTACCTGGGTCAGAAGTGCTGCTATTATATACTGAACCTTTATAATACTCCTTTGATACAAGCTCATTAGTTACCGCGGTGCTCCCTTTATCGAAAAAAGGTTCACGTATGTGACATTGAGGCAATAGGTATCTTATCTGAACCACTTGCTGCAATGTTACTGTTGATCATTTGCAACATTGAATTTTCTAATAACCGAGAGGTGACTTAACAGGTAGAAGACAATAAAGGAGGACAAGGCATCAGGCCAAGATGTTGTCCACTGAGACAGGGTAGTCCAACATTTTGGCTGCTGAGCCTGGATTCCCTATTTGAGAAAGGTTCGCAGGCTGCATAAGCTTTTTTTTGTGTGTTTCTTGTCCTGTAGCTCAGTGGTTAGAGCACTTGTCTCTTGATGAGGTGCCATATCAAATGCATGGATTATTATTACGTTAATGGAGATTGAGTGGGACCAGTGACTGGTTTGCTTGTTCCAAGCCCTGTGCTGTGACCATGCTTTTGTCCAGTGTGCTGGAGTACTGCAGAGCTGCTTGACTCAAGAACTGGAATAATGTCCGCTGGCCCACCTTAGTGGTGCCAGCCCAGCTCAAGACCAATGCTGGTGTAAGCCTTGCTACCCCTGAGTGTCCCGGGACGGTGTTGATGTTTGGGAGGTATTGCGTTTGAGCGTTCTCTGAGTGACTTTGTTCAAAGGAATTGCACATCACATGAACAACAAATAACAACAAATTACCTTGATATAGCGTCTTTCAAGTCAGGAGGACATCCCAAGGCGCTGAAGAATGCAGCAAGCTCACTGCTCTTGCTTGTTGAGTTGACATTTTCCGTAAAGCTTGGATCATTTCTCATTCTCCACCTTGTTTCTTTTTCAGGCAAAGAAGTATGCGATGGAGCAGAGCATCAAGAGTGTATTAGTGAAACAGACCATCGCTCACCAGCAACAGCAGCTGACTAATCTGCAGGTGAGTCTTTGCCTGGATGTGGAGTCCTCCTGTTTGTAATCTTAACTGACTGTGCCTTTTGTCCGATCTCACGGTGAAACCCTGGTCATTACGAGGATATGGAGTATTTCCAGATTGCTCATTACAAGGGTGGGGGGAAGAATCTCATAGATCTTTGCTATGGATTCAATATAACGTGTGGTGCTGAGATCCCGGGAGTTCATTTATTCTGAAATGGCTGAACGCACGGCCATGTGGAAGGCGAGTCTTAATTCAATGAACACAGCTCGCATCAAATCTTTCATTCACAGACATGGGACTGTTGCATGAGTTGAATCTCAGCCGCTCTCCCCACCATGTTCCGGATCAATGAAAACAGGCAGACCGGACTGGCTGGGTTAATGTTGTTTTCTGGTCTTCTCTAGGGCCCAACGTGTGTTGCAATGTTAATAATTATAATAATCTTCTCATTTGATATAGCGCCTTATCACGTCTTTGAGATGTCTCAAAGCCCTTCACAGAATACACTGTAAAGTGACTATATTTTGTGGTTGAATCACGGTAGCCAATTGCGCACAGCAGTATTCCGCAAACAGTCGTGGATTGAGTGACCAAATTATTATTATTTTTGAAGGGATTATTAGCCCCGGAAAAGCAATCCACTAGTCGACTAACAACCAGGTTCCTTTACTGCTAGGTAAACATGCGTGTCGAGTGAGGAAACGTGCCTAACGTTTTGCGCTCCCTGGGAATCGAACTCAGGTCCCCTTGCTTGCTAGGCTAATGCTCTAACCACAAAGTTACAGAACTCGACAAGTAATGCAGATTACTTGATTCGACTGTGACCCCCTTTAGGAGTTGGTGGCCACACACTGAGGCCACCAAAATAATTTGTTTGATAACCACTACCTGAGGGAGGACCAGAGTGTCTTCACTTTATATCCGCCATCTAGTGGATCCTATGTGCTGCTTTGGTGGAGAACAACATTAACCCGGCCGGTCCTGCTGCCTATTTTCACTGATCTGGAGCATGGTGGGGAGAGTGGCTGAGATTCAACTCATGCAATAGTCCCAACTCTGTGAATGAAAGGTTTGCTGTAAGCTATGTTCATGAATTAGGACTGGTTTTCCACATGGCTGCATTCAGCCACTCCATCCCAACCCTCTGCCTCAATCCCTCTGCCTTATCTCCTCTTTGCCCATCTTAAGATTGCACCTGAAGACGTTCCTCTTCGAATGTGCTTACGGTCAGTAACCTCCCCATTTCCCCTGGCTTATTGTCATACCATTGCTAAACTCCCTGAGATGCTACCCCTTGTGATGGGCACTGTATAAATGCAAGTTGTTAGGTGTCCGGCATAGTTCCTGCTATGCTTTGGAGGTCAGTATCTGCCTTAGTGCCCTCTCCACAGTCATGGGCAGAATTGTGTAAAAAAAATCGGAAGCTGCATTTCTGTATTCCAAATTAAAATTTAATTATAGAATTTTCTACAATTCTAAGGACTATCTCAAATATTAAGAGAAGGCAGCCTTTTTTTGGTCTGACACATACGGAAACCCATCAATAACGAACCAAGCTGAGATTTCCATGCATCCCACCTACACATGGAAATCCCAGAGATAGATAGTTGGAATGGAATGCTCGCTCCTGGAGGAACACAACCTGCTTACCTAATTCCAGAAAGTATTAGGCGCAGGTTGGCAAGAGCTAAGTCTTGGGGTCCCCAGAGTGTGCGTTGGGGTAACTGCTGGAGCCTAACCAGCTTAAACTGCGTAGCTTGCCCTTGATATTGCTGTCCGGTAAGCTTTCCCACTGCTTGACCAGTTAGGATCACCCTACCCGTTAGGGCTTTGGCTTGCAGGGTCAACGCGAGCTGAACGGAATGACTCCCTGCCTCCAGTGACTGGTCTTCCATGACAGGTCCTGCTGGTGGGGCTGAGTGTGCTGTCATCAGCAGTGCCCTGGAATACTGTGGATCCGCTTGGCTGAGGAACAGGACTACAGAGACCGCCACAGAGGGCTGGTTTAATTCTGACATTCCATTGCCAGGAATGTCACCCCCCACCCCAGGAGGATATAAAATGGTCTCATAGGCTGGGTGAGAATTGAGGCCTTGGATGTTTAGGGCTTTTCTTAATGGCGGGCCAAGGCATAGTTAGCATGTCAGCCAGCCCTGTTCCTGAGCTGTTGGGAAGGGCGCTGGTAGACAGCAAATGCTGGCAGCGTAAAGTGTGCTGTGTAGAGAGATGCAAATGATAAAGGAAAGTAGAATTAAATTCTTCCATCACTGATTTTATTATGTATGTTCCTGGCTGGTGTCTATTTTTTGGCATTTTTCCCTGAGTTACTGATATGACGGTCATTTTTTTTACACTTGTTCTATTGATGTTCCGTGTTTTGGCACTGATTGAAGAGGGCACTGAGACTGGTACTGACCCAGCCCATGGCACTGGAGGGGGCACTGAGACCGCAGCTCCTGATGCTGACTGAGTGACATCTTCTGCTTCCTTTGTAGGAATAGAAGCATTAACCGTTCTTGTATGTGATTTCATATAAACCCACTTGCCCTTTTTAACCAATACTTTTCAGAACCTGTTGTGATTATAATGTTGTAGTATGTAATAAGAGGAATCCCTCTCAAATACTTGACTATTTGTGGAGATCATATTTCACTCAATGAGACTCTGCTGTATTCGTGTCTATACATATTCATGGTCTCACTTCTCCATTCTGTATTTACGTTATAAAGATTTCACCATTGTGTGGCCTTCCTGAATATTTTCAGTGGAACAGCGGCTCAGTGGGTTTGGGGTAGTCTTGCAAGTATTATTGCAGGTGATGGGGGATTGAGTTGGGGCAGTCGTAGCACTAGCAGCTCCACCATTGCTGAGCTATGGGAAACCAAGGATAGCAAGCGTAGGCCCACTTTAATAGCCCCATTCAATCTTTGTGCCGTAGGAGAACAAGGTTTTCTTTCTTTCCTTACTTCCCTCCACAACCTATGCTGCTGTTCATTTTTCTGCCTTTTAACATCACAAGTGATCACCTCAGTAACTTCACAGCTTCTTATTAAATTTTAAGTGGAGTCTTCACAGGTGACTTTCACTTGTTTGACGCTGGTTAGCTTTGCCTCTGAGCATTGTCACCTCAATATATGTACAGTTCACCGGGTTTTTCTCTGACATGCACCACACTTTGCTTGACACCACTTTATCCACTTTATATGTGGAGTACTGTAGCTTAGTGGTTAGAGCACTCGCCTCGCAAGTGAGAGGACCTGGGTTTGATTCCTGGGCAGCGTGAAACATTGGGCAAGTTTCCTTACTCCACACGCCTCTATTCACCTAGCAGTAAGTAGGAACCCGGTTGTTAGTCGATTGGCGGATTGCTTTTCCAGGGGTAATAATCCCTTTCTAAAAAAAAATGAAAATTTGGTCATTCCATCCACGACTTTGTAGGACACTGCTGTGCGCAATTGGCTGCCGTGTTTCACCCACAAAATATGCAGTCAATTCACATTACAGTATATTCTGTGAAGCGCTTTGAGACGTCTTGAAGACGTGATAAGGTGCTATATCAAATGCAAGGATTATTATTATCCACTTGATGTGATTTGCAGCGTGTAATGTTACACTTCTGCCAGGGGTGTAGGCAGTTGCAATCACTGTAGTTTCCCTGATACTGTGGGGACATTGCAGTGTCTAGGAAGATTCTTCCATGCGATGCACTTGATCCTTTTATATGTTGATAAAACAAACTTCTCAGGAGATAAAAAGGATAGATGGTGGACTGGCCACTCAACAACAACAACTTGCATGTATAGAGCAAACTCCTAAAATAATGAAGTGAATTGACAAGTAGAGAGTGGCGACTATTCTGGTAGAGGGATGTAAAACAAGGGGTATCGTCTTCATTGAGCTCAGTAGTTTTAAGCAATCGAGAAACATTTTTGCAGGTAGAGAGAGGATGGTGAGAATGTAGAATGGGCTTTAGAAGCAGAATCTATTGGTATGTTTAAGAGAACACTTGGGAAGTGAACATTGTGGGGTATGGAGGAAAACCGGTGAAATGCGATTAAAAGATTTGGTAATTGTGTAAGAGAAAGGCTGTACGTGCTCAGTGAACTCCTTTTGCTGTGTTCTGAGCTAAGGAAAGTAAATGCAAGGCTGAAATGGTAGGACATGCTTTGAAAGAGGAAGTCAAGCTTAATGGTTAGCGCACTCGCCTCGCAGCCGTGTGGAGTTCTGTAGCGTAGTGATTAGAGCAGTCGCCTTGCAAGCGAGAGGATCTGGGTTTGATTCCTGGGCAGGGTGAAACCTTGGGCAAGTTTCCTTACTCCAGATCCCTGTTTACCTAGCAATAAGTAGAAACAGGGTTGTTTGTCGTTTGGTCGATTGCTTTTCAGGGGGTAATAATCCCTTCAACAGCCATAAAAATTTGGTCACTCAATCCACAACTGCTTGTGGGACGCTGCTGTGCGCAATTGGCTGCTGCGTTTTGCCCACAGAATTCAGTCAATTTACTTTACAGTATATTCTGTGAAGCGCTTTGAGACATCTTGAAGATGTGATAAGGTGCCATATCAAATGCAAGGATTATTATCATTATAAGTCTGTCACCCTATAAACAAAACATACAATTTGTGGAGTCCTGTAGCTCAGTGGTTAGAGCACTCGCCTTGCAAGCGAGACACCTGGGTTCAGTTCCCGGCAGGGCGAAACCTTGGGCAAATTTCCTTACTCCTTACGCCTAATAATAATCCCTCCAAAATAAAACAATAATAAATTGGTCATTTTCAATCCACGGCTGTTTGTGGGGACGCTGCTGTCTGCAATTGGCTGCCGCGTTTCGCCCACAAATATGCAGTCAATTCACTTTACAGTCTATTCTGTGAAGCGCTTTGAGATGTCGAAGACGTGAAAAGCGCTATATCAAATGCAAGAATTGTTATTATTACAATTATAAGCAGCATGGTGGTGCTGGAGACTGGATTCCTGGGTGAAGATCAGGTGTCTGAAGCGTTGATGGGCTAATATTTTTGAGAATCTTAGCACTTCAAACCAGAGAGCACATCCTGCATGGCAATCTGTTTAGGATTATTGAGAGACTGGGCAGACTCGGGTTAACTTGTTTCGAGCTGAGGAGGTTAAGGGCTGATTTGAGGTGATTTAAGGGAATTGATGTTGGAAGAGGGAGGATTCTTGAATCACTCACACTTTTACACGTTGATGGTTTGTTGAATGCACATTTCTTGTCCATTCGATACCGTCATTCAGCCCTCCTATATCCTATAATAACCAAGTACCGACCTCAACTTACTTTATGATATCTGGGATGTGATTGCTTATGGTGTTTGGTCTTCAGCTTAGTCCTGTAGCTCAGTGGTTAGAGCACTCGCCTCGCAAGCAAGAGGACCTGGGTTCGATTCCTGGGCAGGCGAAATGTTGGGCAAGTTTTCTTACTCCGCACACCTCTGTTCATCTAGCATTAAGTAGGAACCCGGTTGTTAGTTGATTAGTGGATCGCTTTTCTGGAAGTAATAATCCCTTCAAAATAAATAAATAAATAATGATTTGGTCACTCAATCCACGACCTGTGTACAATTGGCTGCCGTTTTCACCTGCAAAATATACAGTCGATTTCACTTCACAGCATATTCTGTGAAGCACTTTGAGACGTCTTGAAGATGTGATAAGGCGCTATACCAAATGCAAGAATTATTATTTGAGGTGACAACTTGTGTTGGACCTGTGTGTATGCTAGTGCAGATACTGTTGTTGGGAGGAGCTGGACCGAGCAGCAGTTTCACCGTGGAGGAGGAGTTTGCTTTTGTAATAATTGAATAAGATTAAAAATAGATAGAGAGGAGATACTGAAAAGATTGGCAGCGCTCAAAGTAGAAAAGTCACCTGGTCTGGATGTGATGCATCCTAGATTACTGAATGGTGGAAATTGCGGATGCTCTGGCCACAGTCTTTCAATCCTCTTTGGATATAGGAGTAGTGCCTGAGGACTGGAGGATTGCAAATGTTAAACCCCTGTTCAAAACAGGGGAGAGGAATAAATCTGGTAACAACAGGCCAGTCAGTCTAATGTCAGTGGTAGGGAAAATTCCAGTGACCATTATTCAGGACAAAATTAATTTTCACTTGGAAAAACACATTGGTTAATAAAGAACAGCCAACACAGATTTGTTAAAGGCAAATCATGTCTAACTTGATAGTTCTTTGATGAAGTAACGGAGAAGGTTAATGAAGGCAGTGCAGTTGATGTGTATATGAACTTTCAAAAGGAGTTTAAATGCCACATGATAGATTTGTTAGCAAAATTGAAGCCCATGGGATTAAGGGAACAGTAACAGCACGGATCTTAAATTGGTTGGGAGACAGAAAGCAGAGGGTGGTGATGAACAGTTGTTTTTCAGATTGGAGTGGTGCGTCCCCATGGTTGGTATTAGGACCACTGCTCTTTTTAATATACGATTCTATGATACCTGCAGTACTATAAGTGGTGTAAACGCCATCGTCACTGTTGTAGCCAGTTTCCTCACTACTGCTTGGACCCATTCATTGCCATTGGACCTGATGTAACTGGGAGGCTAGGCGTTCTGTCAGTGCTCTAACCAACTCAGCTTAATGATCAGAGTTCAGTTCAGAATCCTTTGTGCTTGTAACTTCAGTGACTAGGCAGCTATGAGTAACGTAGTGTTATTAAACTGTGTGAACACATTGTTAGCTTTGGGAAGAACCTTCTGGATTTGAACTTGAGGCTCTGGACATTTTCATTCATTTGCACTGTCTGTCTGCATTCTTTTCCCCTGATTTGTCACCTCAATCACGTCACTTCAGACCTTCTCAGTCGGTTAGGTTCCTTTTTTTTGAAAAAATGAACTAGAAACTGTACATGTACGCCTATCTACATCAGGGTTCCTGTTCGAATCTAAACATATGAGAGAAATATGAAATGCGGCTTTCAAGCTCTTTCTTGAGCAGTTAGAAGTTTGGGATGGCTTAATTTAAAGGGTGGGTGAACATGAGTGAGAGAGGGGAAGGCCACAAGGTCCCAGAATTATTTTTTCCCAGTATTAAAGCCCTTTTATTCTTATTTTCAATTTCTTACCTGGAAGCGCACGGCGGCTACGTTGTGCTTGTGTCGGGGCATGTGGACAGTGAGCTGTCATGTGGTGGAATCTGATCCTTTCTTTGTGTCATCCATTCACCATTGTTTTTCTTCTCTTTCTTCTTCTCTTCCCCCCCCCCCCCCCCCCACCCCCAACACACACACAACCCCCATGTAAACGTTCAGAATTGATTCCCAGCGCTCTCCTATCCTTGTGCCTCTTGGGCGTACAGCTCTTGCTGAAGCAACGGAGCAAGCGCTAAGTGCTGATCCGTCATTCACCAGGGCAGTCAGTGTGGCTGGTGGAAGCTGATGATTTGTAAAATTTATATGAGCAAATTAAGTTGCTCTGTCTGGGTTGAGGTCTAATTGTACATGATTGGAAGTGTAGACTGAAAGCGTTTGAGGTGAAAATATTAAGTGGGCGTCACACTATGCACCAAGGCTGTAAGATTTGTGTTGAGATGAGATATGAGTACAGCTCGCTAGGTTTTTGCTATGGGAAAGTGCACTCATTTACAAAGTCCTTTGTGAATTTTGATAATGGCTGTTTTTTTTATATTTTAGAAATCTGAGAAGGAAAAGGGGACTTCACTTTCTTAGGGCAGACTTGAGTGGCAGACCTAACTTTTTTTTTTAAAAAAAAAAAAATGCGACATGCATCCTTAACACTGTCTTGTCACCTCAGTAAGTTTAAATCAAAAAGGCTTTCTTTAGATTTTTTTCATAAGTGACTTCCTCTCATCAGACACTGGGTTCCTTTCGAAAATGGGCATGCTGGGAACTGTTCGATTGTCTCGACTCCAAAGATCAGGTAGGGGTGATTTTCCAAAGGCACTAACATTCGGGGGTTTGAAAATGTCTTGAGCTATGTGATTTTCATTTTAAAAAAAAAAAAAGTCAATGGAAAACTTTTAAAAACATTTCTTCACCTTAATGCGAGTCACCTTGACCCAGTGAGCTCCCCACCCCACCCCCACCCCACCCCCCTCCCAGCATCACACAGTGAATCAACAGATAATAATAATCTTTGCATTTGATATGGCGCCTTATCTCGTCTTTTAGATGTCTCAAAGCGCTTGAGAGATTATAACATTCCAAATTGAACTGACTGTATGTTTTGTGGGCGAAACACAGGTTAGGGAGGAGGTAGAACAGGGGGAAAATACAATCGAGATAAATTTCAGGTCAGAGATGTACTTGTCCTATTCCTGGTTTAAAATAATCTGCAAGATGGACACTGAGGCAAATTTCCTCTCTGTGTTTGAGGGACGTCCATGTGAGGGGGAAGTTTGTTTTAGCCGAAGAAGCAGGGAGAGACTGTTTTGTTTTGTTGTGCGGTCTGAAAGGAGGAGGGTGCTGAGCCAAAGCTGCACAGAGAGCGTTTCCATTTACAATGACATTTGCATACCTGTGTGTGCTTTTCTTCATCACATCTGACGGTTTTAATGATTTCCACAATATTCTCTATTTGCTGAAGGATGTAATGGGAGGGGTTTAATAGTCTTTTCTTTAATTTGTTCTCTCCCATCCTCTCCTCTCCTCCCCATGCCTTTCAAATTCACAAGAGTGCTCGGTTATCATCTTCCTTTGACTTGAGAGGGAAGCTTAGTGCAGGTTGCTGGCTATTTGGTGACCACCCCGGTACAAGTGGCAGCTTTTCTCTGCCTGAGGCAAGCGTATTTCTGTCCCCTGGAGGACACCTGCCTGACGTCTAGACTGAGGCTGCTTCAGACTGACCACATTTGGCTATCCTTCAGATGTGGTATAGCTGTATGACTTGCGCAGTCTCTGGCTGGATTAGGGCATGTGCTGTGCTAAGTGTGGGACTGGCCCTGGACTAACTGCGATGAAGGAATGACTGGCTCTGCCCACTGACCGCAGATAGTTTGTAGAATCTGGGACCAGAGTGAAGGTACCATTTCCACCCCATTGGAAAGTGCCCTGATCTGATCAAATAGATGCACTTTAGTTGAAGTGAAGGTCCCTTATTGTTCTGCCGTGTTGGGAGTGTTGCCCTGATTGTTTTAGTTGCAGAGTGTGAAAGATGAATTGCCGTATTAAATTTGGGTTTTTCTTCCCTATAATGTGACATCAATACCAAAAGCTATAAGAAATGTTAGAAAGTTGTGAACTACAATAATTTTCTTCTCTTAACCTCCAGTTATAATTGTGTTTGATCCCAGATTTGCATGGCTCAGTGTAGCAGCTGACGTGTCCAAACGCTTGCTGCACAATGTGGCCGGGAGCGCAAGCACATGGACGGCTGATAGCCCTGCCATGTTCCAGGCTGACGCTATCTCGGGCTGTTTTACACTGTCAGTTGGGTCTATTGGTTCACACTCGCTAACCCTGTGTTTGTCCTCCCTCCTCCTCAACCAGATGGCAGCACAGAGACAGCGAGCGCTGGCGATCATGTGCCGTGTTTATGTTGGATCCATTTACTATGAACTGGGTGAAGACACCATCCGACAGGCCTTCGCTCCTTTTGGACCCATCAAAAGCATCGATATGTCTTGGGACTCGGTCACCATGAAACACAAGGTTCCCTTTTACTCATTTCATATTGGATAATAACACTTAATAATAATAATCCTTGTATTTGGTATAGCGCCTTATCACGCTGTCAAAGTCTCAAAAGTGCTTCACAGGATATACTGTAAAGTGGATTGACTGTATTTTGTGGGGGAAAGACAGCTTGCACACATCAATGTCCCGCAAACAGCAACAGTAAATTACATTTGTATAGCGCCTTTCACGTCGGGACGACGTCCAAAGGCGCTGGACAGTCAGGGTTTGGAGCTTGGAGTGAGTCCAATTTTATTTTGGGGTTTGTTGGCCAGGACACTGGGAGAAACTCCCTTATCTTTTCAAATAGTAGCGTAACATCCATCTAGACAGGCAGAAAGAACCTCAATTTAACGTCTCATCTGAAGGACTGCACCTCTGACAATGCAAGGCCCTCCCCGCCCCCCCCCCCCAGCACTGCATTGCAGCATCAACTCAGACTATGTGATTCCAGGTTCCGACGTGGGGCCTGAAATCTTGGTAGGTCGAGCCACTGCCTGGTGTGGGACTGAGACCTGAAGATTCCAAGTTGTCCCTGAACTGCTCTACATTGCTGATTGAGTATGAGTTTAGGCTAACGATATCTTGAGGGTGAGGGAGGAAGGGGGTGGGGGGCGATCTGCCAGGGTTCGTGATCACTGGCTAGAGATCTCAGCTCAAGGTTCAAGTAACTACACATAAGGCAGAATGGCCACTTACTGAGATAGTAAGCCACTTACTGGAGGGTTGACTGGTGTTTTAACATATTTAGGAGGAGGAAAACTCTTGTCTCTGAGGTCCTACATATATGGTTTGTAACTGCTAACTGCACTGTAAATCCACTTGTGTTCTTTAGTGAGTAAGTACACTGGAGACATCCTGCCATAATCACAGGAGAGATTTGAATGAAGAATGGCCATTTGACCTCTACCTCCCTAACCCTCCCGTGTTGCTGTTAGAGCATGGGAACCATTCACAACTCTGGGGTATATGTGGGGCTATTTGAGACCTACAATGCTGTGTGTGGCAGCAACAAAGATTCAAAATATTCACTCAAGAAAAAAGTGAAAACACACTTCCAATTGAACATGGACTTGCCTAATCTCGTGTGAATGTTTGGGCCACAGGTTGGCCACCACTGTGTTTGGGTTGCAGGATTGAGTGGGAAGAATCCCTGCCCCCAGCGATTAACTGGTCTGACCCTCCAAGTCTGTCTGTCTGGGATGTCATCAGCAGTGCCCTGGAGTACTACAGATCCCCCTACTCCAGCTCAGGAACTGGGCTACCGAGACTGCCACAGAGGATTAAAGTATTTTTTTCAATAGCTCATGGTTTCAAGTGAAGATTCCTTACAATCACAATGTTTTTTCTTTTTCTCTCTCTCGAAGAATCGGTAAAATGTTAGCCCAGTTTTTCAATCCCCCTCACATAGACAGTTATCAAGTAATAAATCCAGACACGAGTAGCCTATCGGTCCACTCCACTCTCAATCCAGCTTCACAAAGATTTATTTAACACATCTATTTTATAGACACATAGAAACAGGAGTAGCTGCTCACGCCTGTTCCTCCATTCTGTAAGATCTATACCTCAACTCCATCTTTACCCACCTTTTCCCCATATCCCTTGATTATTATTATTATTACCCTGACTTAACAAATATCTATCTACCTCAGGCTTGAAAATGTGAATGAATTCAGCATCCACAGCCTTTTGGGGGAGAGAATCCCAGATTTCCACTACCCTTTGGGTGAAAAACTGCCTTAGTCCCACGTGGCCTAGCTCTAATTTTAAGATGATGCCCCTTGTTCTGGATTCCCCTACCAGAAGAAATAGTTTCTCTAGCTACCTTATCCAATCCCTTTATTATTTTAAAAACCTCAATCAGATCACCCCTCAACCTTCTAAACTCAAGGGAATACAGACCAAGTTTATGCAACCTCTCCTCATAAAATAACCATTTAAGCCCTGATATCATTCTGGTGAATCTATGCTGCAATCCCCCTCCAAAGCCAGCATATCCTTCCTGAGATGCATTGCCCAAAACCCAACCAGTACTCTAGATGGGGACTGATCAAGGCTCTGTACAGTTGAAGTATCATTTCCTCTCCTTTATGGCCAATTAATCTTGAATCATTTTAATTTATGGGAACCAGTTACAGTTTTTTTTCACACAGTCATTGTTCTCTGAACTTTCAATTCACTTTTGTTCTTGTTGAAACCGTGGTCTCTTGTTCTTGAATTGTGTTTTCGCTTCCAACCATTCTCCAAAAACGCCACAGTCATTCTCATTGGTGCCTCCCCCAAGGTCAGGTACTTCATTCAGTGCATTGACAAGCCTTCTATCAAACTTCATCCATTCGTGTGTTCCATATTAAACTACATCTCCCAGCTTTCCACCCACAAGCAGTTTCTCCCTCAAGCAAATCCCTTTAAATTTGTCCTCATTGATCACTTGTTCCAATTTGGTGGTATCACCAAATGTTGGCACTATTGACAGTATAGCATCCTCTCAAATCTCTTGTTATAACTGAAACCCCTCTTACCTGGTAACATCTTAGTGAATCTATGCTGTACATTTTCTATTATTTTATATATCCTTCCTGTAGTAAAGTGCCCCAAAGAGCACACAACCCCCAGTTGTAGCCTAACTAAGATCTTATTACCTCCTCACTCTTGTATTCTTTAGCTTTGATCTACTTGTGTTTTTTATGGTCTTATTTCTATGCTGCCACCTTTGCTGACCTGATACTGACAGGTTTCTTTGCTCCTCTACACCACTTAAAATCTTAATATTCAGTGTACATTTCCTTTCCCTACGCTTACTGATAACTTGTATTAATTGGAATTTTTTGGTATTGATCTCTGTCTGCCACCAATCTGTCCACGACGGTGAAAATCAGTAAGCTGTTTGATCGTTAGGATCAGCCAAGTCCAATCCTATTCTCACCTGATGTCCATTGCCGAAAAAGGGAAAGTGCTTACCAGATAGGTGATCAGCAAAAAGAGCATCCAATTCCACACAGACTGTGAGTGGTACAGGGAATATTATGGTCACTATGGCTGTTATTTACTGGACAAAGTATCTGAGTTGTTTGGAGGCAGTGGGGAAGCTGATTTGTTTCAGTACTGAGGATAATGTCTGTTTCCTTGCAGGGCTTTGCCTTTGTAGAGTATGAGGTGCCTGAGGCAGCGCAGCTTGCTCTTGAGCAGATGAACTCTGTTATGCTGGGAGGTAGAAACATCAAGGTAAGTGACCTTCCACAGGCTTCATGCAGCACAAATACACCAACCACACACACTCACACTGACATTTCTCTGTCTTCTCCCGCCCCGCCTCCCCCAAACACTCAGCAGTGAGCAAAATGGTGGCCATTGATGGGGATATGAAGCTCCTGACGAGATCAGAACATGAGGCCCAGATTCCAATGGTCGAGTTAACCACCCATATGCTTGAGGCAGCGGTGTTTTGCTGTGCAGGATGACATGTGACCACAGGCATTTGGTTACAAGGCAACCAGCCCACTGCTCCTGCCGACGGTGAATGCCTTCCAACTCCAGCAATGTACTGATTGAGAAGCACCGCTTGGACGGTTCTTACTCGTGTCTCTGTCACTGAATTGATCTAGATGGGCATCTGCATCTACTTATCCTCCAGCGCTCTGCTCGCCCCCCCCCCCCCACCGGACCCCACCCCCATGGCACCAGTCAGTGATTGGTCTCAGCGCTGTTGTGTTGTGCTTTCTAACACCAGTTTTAATCCCTGTAGACAAGGTGGGTTAGGGACTTGTTTCACAGGCACTACAGCTGCACGGAGACTGGATCAGTGGCCAGTGAGAGCTGCACCTCTGCACACAAGCCGATTACTACGTTGTGCTCTCGTGTAAAGCACTCATATTAATCCAGCTTCATTCCAGGTTTGGCAGCGACATTGGTAAGTAGGATGACGAGTGATTGGCCGGTGAGCTGGAGCCGGCTAGTGCTCAGAGCCTCGCCATATTAACCTTTTGAGTGGCAACGTCCTCATCTGTGCAGAGATCAAACCTGTGTGTTCACTTCAATACCTCCTCAGTGATATGTTCTTGTTCTATCTCGAAGCAGGGCAATTCATGCAGTTCGAAACTCAAGGGAGAGACAACCAGTGCTGAAAGGGGTAGATCCGGCTACAGAGGCTGGATTGTGCTAGCCAATGGTGGTGATGTAAGAGTTAGCATGTAATGCAGTGGTTTGAGGATGGTAGGTAGGGAGCCTGAGACCCTGAATTAGGAGCATGAGAGATGGAAATCGGTCCTGTGTCTTTGGTTTGTACATCTGGTGGTCAGGCGAGCAACTGTCTTGGAGGGCTGGGTGTAAGACTGTGATAGGCCAGGAGGCTTGGGTGGGTTTGTGATTTGTGGAGTTGAGGTAGAAGAAACAAAAGCTTAGCCTGGTCTTTGTTGCAGATGGGAAGTTGGAGCCCAGCATAGTCTGGAAAGGTCAGAGAGAGCCAAAGGTGAGGTGCTGATCAGGAAACTGAGGTGAAATGAAGTTGACCTTGTGGACTGTAGGGTGACAAGCGCTCACTGGTGGAGGATTGAAGTTTCCGTCTGTTAAGTGTATTCTTGGCACATCTTGGGGTGGGGTGGTTGCAGCAACTCTGAGCAGAGTACACAACATTGGCACGATGCGGCAATGTCTCGCACCCCACCCACCCGCAGGTGCTGGGGCTTGACCACACACAGCCACGCTGCGTTCGGGCAGTGTGCCGTCATCCTTATCATCCAATTTGTTCATCTCTAAGGAGAAGCAAGCCTATTTCTCTTTTGTGTCTTTGCTCTTGAGGGTGCCTCAGCTCCTTGCTGGCTTCGCACCTGGAGGTTTGGAGCGAGACGTGATTTTCATTTGGAAATTTTATCATTCTTTTTTTTGCCGTGGTTTTGAAAGCCCATCCGTTATTTTATCGATGGATGTTTTGGCAACTGGACTTGCTCGCTCATGTACACAGCTGTGCGTGAGCTGGCTCTTGTGGAGTGATGGAGAGTGATACCTTCCCCACTGCCAGGTGGCTGTGCAGGACCACTCCCTTCTTGATCTGCTTCGTTCCCTCTTGAGGCTGCATTGGACCTACTTTGCACTTGTAGTGGTCAGCACCATTGATGACTTTCTGGCAGTCATTTTCTGCCCTGTTCTTTGGCTTATTCGAGCCACTGTGCTGTCCTTGGTTGTTCCCAGCTGTGCTCCTGGCTGGCTGTTCTTGTGTGCTCTTCCCCAGCCCATTTGGGCTGGCCTTTCTGGGTCAAATCGACACTGTGCAAATTACTTGAGCCTCAGGATCCATCGTCACAGAGAACATTCGCTGGAATTTTACTGGCCACTCGCTCTTCTCTCACCTCTGCTCTCAATATAGCATAAAGAGCTGCCTGTCCTCTCATGGTCCTACAGGTGTATTGCTATGCCTCGCCCGCTCTTCTCTGCCTCCCCAGGAAGCGTGTCTTTGGCAATTTTTGGTCACTAACCTTCGCCGATACGTGGATGGGTGTTTCTCTGCTCTGAATGTTAATCTCACAATTACAAGGAATCAATTTGTGAAAATCCTTCCAACAATAAACGCTCGACGTGGCTGAACTCGAGTCTTCGGCTTGTTTTTCTTTGTGACCTTTCTTATACGTTTGCTGGGGGTGGGGGGAATCGTTCCAGTCCGCCTCCCAGCGGCTTGCAATTTTGGTGCGTAGGGTGGTGCTGTGTAATCCGAGGCTCAGCACCTCCCTCATTGACTCCCTGCAGCCAACTGGGAGACTGTTTGGGAGCGACCGCCACAGCAAATGTATCCATTGGAATACAGTAGCTTGTGTTTCCTTTAATCTATTATCAAAGGAGACTCCACTCTGTTTAAGAAGCGGTAGGTTTCAATAGCTTGCTCTCACTCACAGTCTTCTGCCAATCGTTCCAGGCCAGGCCCTGCTACATTGGTGATGAGAAACCCCTCTTGGGGCACTGCTTTTTTTTTTAACCGCCCGCGACGCCGACCCATCTCCAGCTCGCAGCGCATTCTGTGTAGGGCGGCACCACTTTGGTCTGCTTGTTCTGTAGCTGCTCTCTGCAAGTCTCCCCGCGAGCGGCCAGACGGCTGCGAGGGTGGGAGAGGCAAAAAAAAAGCTTGCAGAGCGTAGCTACGGTGGTGCCGTCCTGCCCGGAATGCGCTGCAGGAAGGAGGAGGGAAATGGCTACCTCCCGAGGCGGTGCCCAAAGTGCGGTGTTCTGGGTCGAGTTTCTCCGCAATACAGCAGCGCTCGGTCCCGGAGTGCTTGACAGGGGGTCGTGCGCGGGAGCAGGAAATTTACCGTTTCTCAAACAGAGTGGAGTTCCCCTTTTAACCAGATGTGCCGGAATGCCACACGTTCTCCTGCAAAACGCGATCCGATTCCCGCCCTCCCAACACAACGTCTTGTGTTTTTGTATATGAAAAAAAATTTTTTTTTTTTTTTTTTTAAAAAAAAATCAGGCTCGCGTTTTAGCGAGGCAAGAAACCAAACCAAAGCGAAAAACGAACCGGGGAATCCGGGATATTCTTCACTTAACAGGAACTAGCTGTTAATGTGAGGTGCGTTTAATTCCCTCCATCACCCTCATCACCACCACCGCCATTTCTGAGGTGCATTTGCAGGTCCTGAGGAAGATCCCCCCCTCTCCCCAGGTGGCACTCACTCCGTTGTTAAGGACGGTGTTTTTCAGGAGACGCCGTTGTGGCGTTGTTGGTATTTAATTTCTAGCTTGGTCTGTAATTGGCGGGGGTTTCTTTTGTTACAGGTTGGCAGACCGAGTAACATAGGACAAGCTCAACCAATCATAGACCAGCTTGCAGAGGAGGCCAGGGCGTTTAACAGAATTTATGTTGCGTCCGTTCACCCGGACCTGTCGGATGATGACATTAAAAGTGTGTTCGAGGCCTTTGGAAAGATTAAATCGTGCACCTTGGCCCGTGACCCCACAACGGGGAAGCACAAAGGATATGGATTCATTGGTGAGTGATGTGTTGGTAAAACTGGTTTAATGTCAGTCTTGTGAAACAAGAGAAGTTAGGGAAGAGCAGTTTGCAACTAACAGAGCTTCAGGTTTGTAACTTAGTAAACTGGCCTCTGGTTCCTGGTATCAGCATTAGCTCAATCAAGGTGAAAGTCTGTTGACCCACTCCAGTCCATCTTCCCACTGGTATTGAGGTTCCCATGAAACCAAATCACTGTATAATCGGGTCAGATAGTGGCTTGTCACGCGATCAGTGCCCTCAGACAACAGCAGAGGATCGGCAGGTCGTTAAGATCGTGGAGGAATCGTTTTGTTTTGCAGGTAACCTGATACTGTGTGCTGTCTGGTGTGTGTGTATCTGATACTGTGTGCAGTCCTGTGTATGTAGTTGATATCGTGTGTGTGTGTATCTGATTCTGTGAGCTGCCCTGTGTGTGTGTGTGTGTGTACCTGATACTGTGACTTGTCCTGTGTGTGTGTCTGATACTATGTGCAGTCGTGTGTGTATACACCCAATAGTGTGTACTGTCGTGTGTGTGTGTGTGTGCCTAGCACTGTGTGCTGTCCTGTGTATGTGCTCCCAAATCTTCCCCCACATTCCTCCCTGACATCTCCACCCTCCTATCTTCCTTCTGCCTCTGTTCTGAACGCCTCCTCATCCTAGGCAACTTCATTCAACCTGCGCTTCATCCCCTCTTGCTCTGTCTCCACTGACTTCTCTCTCCTCTCACAACCTCGGGCTCCACATCCACTCAGCTATCCGTGGCCACCCGCCTGACCTGGTGATTACCCGGGTCCTCAGCATCTCAGACATCACCACCATCACCTACAAAGCTATTTCGGACCACTACTACTTCTCCCTTAACTCCTCCATCCCGCCACTCAACCCACATCCATCTCGTACCGCCCCTGTAAAAAAAGAGTCTTCCCCCCTCCCTATCCGCTGTCCTAGAGTCATCTGAACTCCTCCCCTTCTGGGCTTCCTCCCGCATTGACTTATCCTCCTTGGTCACTCTCCTCCACACTCCATCTCTGACACTCTCGAAGTGCTTGACCCCCTCACCTCCCGAACCACCTCCTAGTATCGCAAGTCATCCTGGTACACCAGCCACCTCCACTCCCTCACGGCACAGTGCGTGCCGCCGAATGCACCTGGCTCAAATCAAACCTGGATTTGATTCCCGGCAGGGCGAAGTTTTGGTCAAGTTTCCTTACCACATGCCTCTTTACCTAGCAGTAAGTAGGAACCCAGTTGTTATTCGATTGGTGGTTTGCTTTTCCTGGGTAATAATGCCTTAAAAAAAAATATGTTGATCACGACCGTTTGTGGGACGCTGCTGAGCGCAATTGGCTGCCGTGTTTCGCCCACAAAATATATGGTCAATTCACTTTACAGTATATTCTGTGAAGCGTTTTGAGACATCTTGAAGATGTGATAAGGAGCTATTTAAAGTGAATATTATCTAATTTGAATGGTCCCGTCGGCAGATTTGGCTGGACCACATTAAAACTTACCGTTCTGTCCTCGCTTCCGCTAAATCGTTCTTCTACTCCCAAGATAATCTTGGAGGCCATCCTTTAATCTCGCGCCTCGCCCATCCTCTCCAACTGTAAGGAGACCAAAATCTAGGGGATCCACTCAGCCGCCTCTGCCCTTCCAACTACTACCCTCTCCCCATCTCCCCTTCACGCTCCGGCCCCTGCCCATCCCTCCCTCCACATCTTTGCAAGCGAGAGACCTGAGTTCAATTCCAGGCAGAGGGCGAAACCTTGGGCAAGTTTCCTTACTCCACCCAGAGCCTAATAATAATCCCTCCAAAACCAAAAACAATAATAAATTGGTCATTTTCAATCTACGACTGTTTGTGGGACATTGCTGTGCGCAATTGGCTGCCGCGTTCGCCCACAAATATACAGTCAATTCACTTTACAGTGTGTTCTGTGAAGCGCTTTGGGACGTCCTCCTGACGTGAAAAGCGCTATATCAAATGCGAGGATAATTATTATTATTATTATCTTCAACCTTGTCTATCCCTCCTCTCTCACCACCATTGTGACCCATATGAAACCCACCACCTGTTCCTTCGACCCCAGAGGATAGAGTTAAAAATCCTCTTCCTCGCCTTCAACTCCTTCCACTGCCTTTCATTTCCTTACCTCTTACCTACTAACCCCATATCAATCTGTTCACTCTCTCCATCCAACCTGTTACACTTCCCCCGCCTGGCCAGTCCCACCATTGGCGATGGTGCCTTCAGCCTCTGCCCCCATCCTTTGGAACTCCATGCCATAGTCCCTTTGCCTTGCTCCCTCCCTTGCCATCTTCAAAGCATGTCGAAGACATTGACTGCGCCTTAGGTCATCCTCCTACCACTACCTTCCCTGCCCTCTACCCTTCCTGATCCCAATCTCCTCAAGTCCAAATCCCTGACCATCCAGCATCTTGGGAAGTCCTCCGGATGTGAAAGGTGCTTTTCAAATGTAATTTGTTGTGGGTGTGTGTGCTTGAAACTGTCTACTGTGTGTGTACCTAGTACTGTGTGCTGTCTGGTGTGTGTGCATACCTGATGCTGTGTGCTGTCCTGTGTAAGTGGGTGTGTACCTGATACTGTGTGCTTTCTGGTGTGTGTGTGTGTGTGAGAGTTCAGTGTATCTGATACTGTGTGCTGGTTGGTTGGTGTGTGTGTGTACCTAATACTGTGTGCTGTCCTGTGTGGGTGGGTGTGTGTGTGTACCTAATACTGTGTGCTATCCTATTTGTGTGTACCTGCTGCTGTGTGCTGTCTGTTGTGTGTATGTGTGCACCTGATATTGTGTGCTGTCCTGTGTGTGGGTGTGTGTATATATACCTGAAGCTGTGTCCTGTGTGTGCGTGCGCGCACCTGATGCTGTGTGCTGTCCGGTGTGTACCTGATAGTGCATGCTGTACTTCGCGGGGTGTGTGCGCGTGCGTGCGCCCACGTCGGATATACATGTGCGTATCCACACGGGCGGACGGGGACGTGCAGGCCTACCCATGTGTGTATGAGAGAGAGTGAGTACCAGATGCTGTAACTAGCAGCAGAGTGATGAATGCTCTTTCGCACCATCATCTCTGTTGTGCGACTAATGTTTGCTTCTCAAGTACTAGTTAATTTTCCACATGTATACCGGCGAGCGCGCATGCGTACACACGCCCCTGACCTTAGGGGAGAAGCTGGTTTGTTGCCATGGCACCAGTTTGACAGATTGTTTTTGTGAACTCGACCCCTACGGTGCTGTGATTGTGTCTGTGAAAAAGTGCCACTTCGTTGATGCTGCGTCTGCTGTGTGTTAGAGGCGTGCACCGGCAGCCTGCGGTGTCCTGTCCGGCCACACTACGGCAGTGATCCGTGTGAGACGTGGGACTTTGCTCCAGTGGGCAGACCAGCCCTCAGCTATACGTGGACTCGGACTGAACAATTGCGGCGTCTCGGCTCGTACACTCGCCCTCCTTCCCCCTTTCCCCACACCCCCCCCCCCCTTCCCCCCCCATTCCGTGTCAGTAAATCAGCACTCACCGTGGAAACCTGATGGAGGGGGGTAACAGGGAGAGGAGACACCAGGCAATACAACGTGACACAAGCAATGTGTGGAAACTACAGAGTTTTTCAGTCTGCTATAAAGCAAGAGGAAGCCGGAATCTTGTCAGGATTGGGATATGTTTCGGGCATGTGGCAGCTTATCTGAATGGTCTGATGGTTTGCGACAGAATCTTGCCGGTCGGTATCGGTCACCGTTGAGTGCTCCCGATAGTGTTTCCCCGACAGATGCATGTCCAGAAGAGCGTTGAATCCGGCCGGGTAGAGCATGGGATCGGATCAATGGAGCAGGACTTATGGTGCGGTCTGAGTGGCCCGGCCACTGAACTGGGTCCATGGTTGTGGACGTTTCACACTGAATGCTGATTCAATGACTTGAGGGTGGTTATTTGAGCCCCGTCAGATGGCTGACTGCGACCTCTAGGTGTGTCTCTGATGTGCAACGGGGTCCCTACCTGCACTGAGCTGTATTTGGGGAAGGAGAGGAAGGTAGCCGGTGCCAAATAGGGCCATTCTCACAGATTAAAACCAAGCTGACATTGTGCTGGTTTATACTGTTATAGGTAATATGGCTGATGGAGAGATTCTGACCAGTTTAGCCCCGATATCAGAAGGTGGGATGAAACTCAGCATTTTTGTTTTGTTTTTGAGCAAGAGGTTGCTCTTACACCCTGGCAATCCAGGATCTTACAGATTGCTGTGGCTGGGATTCTGCCTGGGAATAGGTTCATTGAGCTCCCAGCAGTGACTCTGGCACTGATGTGGCAGCAGATCAACAAGTTCCTGAGGTTGTTCTTCACTCTTAAGAGCAAGGTGGCTACCTACTGCTGCTGGGTCTGTGGCCCCCATGTTTGCAGGTCTGGTTGGGACCGGCAGATGCTGATCCAGGACAGACCGGGCCAAGGTGCAGACTGTAGTGGAGCTGCTGCACTTGACACTGGTCAGCAAAGAACGTGCAGTCTAACAGTGGCTCATGTTAGACATCTGAGCATTTCATACGTAGTTGCTGTCAGTATAGTGACTGTTTTGTAGGCAAGGTAAGCAGTGTTGGCTTGTGCCGCCTGGTCAATCCCAGTTAACTGGGTAATGCTGCAGTCAGGGAGTGGCAAGTTATTGTGTGGCTTTGCTTGTGAGGCCAGGAGACGAGGGCGGATAAAACAGTATCAGTCTCTGATAGTGCTCATTAGTGAGCGGTGTCCCTAAGAAATGATGTAAGAGGCGATTGTTCAAACTAGAGATTAGTCCTTGTCTAATGCTTAGCTTGTAAATGTGGCTGGTGAGATCTTTAATTCAGACAAGTGGCTATAGTGAGGTTCCCCTGTACTGTATAGGACATCCAACTGCATTAATACCTGAGCTGAAGGGCTTAGCTTGAGTGAGAGGCCGGTGGGGGGGCTGGAGTCCAGTCATCAGAGCAGATGGGGTTTGGGGTTGAGCTGATTGAGATGAGATTAGGGCCTGGTCTGATTGAGGCGTACAAAATGGTAGAATTGACACATTAGACAGTGGCTGTACAAGGCTGAGCAGTAGAGAGTGTTAACATATTGACCTGACCCATCATTGTTACAGCAGTCAAGCAGACAGGACTGTGTGCATGGCAATAACTCACAGCACCATCACTGTGGGGTTGGGGGATGGTGGGGTGTAAGCAATACACTGCATACTGATAAGATAATGGACTACTTAAGAAAATTGAAGCCCATGGGATAAAAAGCACAGTGGCAGTATGAATACGAAATTAGCGGGGAGACAGAAAGCAGGTGAGGGTTTTTCAGACTAAAAAAACTGCAATAACATTGCACCACCAAGGGGGGGGTGGGGGGGCGGGGTGTGCAATAACACTGCACCATCACTGGGTGGGGGGCAATAAAGCTGCACCATCATTTGGGGGGGGCAATAACCCTGCCCCATCACGGGGGGGGGGGGGGGGTGGTGCAATAATGTTGCACCATCACTGGGTGTGGGGGGCACTAAGGCTGCACCATCACTGGGGGGGGGGGAGGTGTACAATTCCACTGCACCATCACTGGGGGGGAGGGGTGCAATACCACTGCACCATCACTGGTTGGGGGGAGCACTAACACTATCACTGGAGTGGGAGCACTAACACTCTACCATCACTGGGGGGGGAGGTGTACAATTCCACTGCACCATCACTGGGGGGGAGGGGTACAATAACACTGCACCATCACTGGGGTGGGGGGCAATAACACTGCACCATCACTGTGGGGGAGGGGTACAATAACACTGCACCATCACTGGGGGGGAGGGGTACAATAACACTGCACCATCACTGGGGGGGAGGGGTACAATAACACTGCACCATCACTGGGGGGGAGGGGTACGATAACACTGTACCATCACTGGGGTGGGGGGCAATAACACTGCACCATCACTGGGGGGGGGGGTGCAATAACACTGCACCATCACTGGGGGGGGAGGTGTACAATTCCACTGCACCATCACTGGGGGGGAGGGGTACAATAACACTGCACCATCACTGGGGGGGAGGGGTACAATAACACTGCACCATCACTGGGGGGGAGGGGTACAATAACACTGCACCATCACTGGGGGGAGGGGTACAATAACACTGCACCATCACTGGGGGGGAGGGGTACGATAACACTGTACCATCACTGGGATGGGGGGCAATAACACTGCACCATCACTGGGTGAGGGGCACTAACACTGCACCATCACTGTGGGGGGGGGGGGGGTGCAATAACACTGCACCATCACTGGGGTGGGGGGGGAGGCACTAACACTATCATCGCTGGGGGTAGAGAGGCGAACGGGTAGAGCACCAACAAATTATTATTTACACAGTGCCTTTTACGTCGGGAGGACATCCCAAGGCACTGGACAGTTAGGGATTTGGACCCGAGCAGGGGGCTGGGACCAGGCGGGTAGGGGTAGGAGAGTGACCGACGGCGTGGTCGAAGAGGAGAGTCTTGAGACGTGCTTTGAAGGAGGCAAGGGTGGGGGCAGAGAGGCTGAAGGGCAGCCTGCTGATGGGGCAGGCCAGATCCTGCTGAGCAGAGGGAGCGAACACTTTGATATGGGGTTAGCAGGTCACAGAGGTAGGAAGGAGCAAAACTGGAGGGCCCTGAAGGCGAGGACGAGGATTTTGATCTCTCCTCTGGGGGATGGGGAGCCGGGCGAGGGTGGGGGTGAGCAATATTAAACCGCATCGCTATGAGCGAGGCTACAGCAGCAACAGACTGGGCTCAATGGAAAGCAGCAGGCGGTTGGCTATCTCCTCGGGTGGCTGCTGCTGTTGAGAAGTTACACATGAGGTTGTGAGCTGTGTTGGGAAGATGAGGGTGGAGGTGCTCCAGGGAAGAGCAAGACTGAAGGTAAGTTCCTTGTTTGACTTGAATCTCTCTGTGGCTCCACTGATGTCTCAGTAGGTGAATGCACTGTCCTGAGCAGTCCTGGCAGGCGGGGGGGGGGGGTGGGGAGGGCGGGGTTGTGGGGAAGGTTATGGGGACTGGGAGCTGAGGGAGTGATGTGGCAGCTGATGTGTTACGAAACAAGAGATTTGTGCTGGGTGAGTGTAAGTGGTTAGTGTTCTTTCCTGCAGAGTATGAGAAGGCTCAGTCCTCCCAGGATGCTGTCTCCTCCATGAACCTGTTTGACCTGGGCGGCCAGTTCCTGCGGGTTGGTAAGGCCGTCACTCCCCCCATGCCACTGATGACACCTGCGGCGCCAGGAGGCCTCCCACCTGCTGCTGCCGTGGCAGCCGCTGCCGCCACAGCCAAAATCACAGCCCAGGTGATCTCTCTCGCTCTGCCTGTCGCCCTCCCTCTACCTGTCGCCCTCCCTCTGCCTGTCGCCCTCCCTCTGCCTGTCGCCCTCGCTCTGCCTGTCGCCCTCCCTCTGCCTGTCTCTCTCGCTCTGTCTGTCGCTCTCCCTCTGTCTGTGTGCGTCTCTCTTACTCTCCTTATGCATTTGTCTCTCTCGCACAGTCTGTGTTTGTTTGGTTGCCTATATCTCATACTGTGTGCACATATGTGTCTCACACAAACACACACGCTGTTCTGTTTCTCTCACGCATACCTTCTTGGGGGAGGGGGAAGTTAAGCGGGGTCTCCTTGGAACTGAACTGGCTCCAAGATGTCATGCCTGGCAATGAAATGTCGGAATTGAGCCAGCCCTCAGTTACTGAGCCAGGGAAGTCCGCAGTATTCCAAGGCACTGCTGATGACAGCACAGCCCGTCTGGCGCATCGACAGGATCTGGACCAGTCACGGGGAATCATCTCACTCAGCTCCTGTTAATCCTGCAAGCCAAAGTAGGGTGGTCCCATTGCCGGACACCAATATCAATGGGAAGTGGTTTCAGTTGGTTAGACTGCAGCAGTTACCCCAAAGCGCACTCTGGGCTCCCCCGGGCCATGGCTCTTGCCAACTGCCTAATACTTCCTGGAATTATGTAAGCATAAGGAGAGAGTACGCATTCCATTCCAAAAATCTTATCTCTGGGATTTCCATGTGTACGTGGGATGCATTGGAAATCTCAACTTGGTTTGGATACTCTTAAGCACAGGAATGGGTTTCTGCATGTGTCAGACACCCGGCTGAGCAAAACAAAAGTGTACAAGAGGAAACGTGATAGGAATAGGAACAGCGAAAGGTGCTTTTTGTGACGATGATGAACTTCCTGTCAACAGGAGGCGGTCGCCGGTGCAGCAGTGCTGGGTGTCAGCGGACTCTCAGCCCCAGGTCTGGTGACTCCAGCCCTGACTCTAGCCCAGCCTCTGGGAGTGCTACCACAGGCTGTAATGGCTGCCCAGGCCCCAGGAGTGATTACAGGTCAGTAATCACACATTTTGTACTCTCACTGCTTTAAACCTGATGTCAGGGATATTGCTATGACTGCCTTCATCGATCTCTGAAACATCGCAGTCCTTTAGCTTAGTAGTTGGAGCACTTGCCTCGCAAGCGAGAAGACCTGGGTTTGATTCCCAGGTAGCGGGCAAAATGTTGGGCTTGTTTCATCAGGCCAGACACTGGCCCAGGACCCGCATTGTCAAGCGACCCCTTCAGGTGAGATGTTAATCTGAAACCGCACCTGTGTCAAAGATTCTGGTAAACATATAACTCATTACCTCTGGCTGCGAGAGGAACTTTACTGTCCACATATTAGTTGATATACACATATTAGTCCACATAAAAGTGCTCTGAGATGCCGTCCGGCGTGGAGGGCGCTATATAAATCCAAGTTGTTGTTGCCGCATTTGCCTTCAAATACAAGTTACTACACTCACAGCAATTGCTTGTAAAGTGCATTCAGAAGTTTTTCATTCTATGGACTGGATCAGGTGCCATGATTGTTACATATGTGGAGTCCTCTAGTGGTTAGAGCACTCGCAAGTGAGAGGACCTGGGTTTTGATTCCTGGGCAGGGTGAAACGTTGGGCAAGTTTCCTTACTCCATGCACCTTTGTTTACCTAGCATTAAGTAGGTTGTTAGCCGATTGGCGGATCACTTTTCTGGGTTATTATCCCTTCAAAAAAAATAATAATAATAATTTGGTCACTTAATCCATGATTGTTTGTGGAACACTGCTGTGTGTAATTGGCTGCCGAGTTTCACCAACAAAATACACAATCAATTCACTTTACAGTGTATTCTGTGAAGTGCTTTGAGATGTCTCGAAGATGTGATAAGGCGCTATATCAGGATTATTATATTTCTCAGGTGTGACACCCAGCCGCCCCACGGTGTCTCTGCCAGTGACCATCCCACAGGTGGGCGTGGTTAATCCCGTGCTGGCCACACCACCGGCGGTCACGGCTGCCGTGGAGGTGAAAAAGGAGGAGGAGGAGAAACTACTGGACACGGAGCGACTGGAGATGCTGAGCGAGCAGGAGCACATGAGCATATCTGGCAGCAATGCCAGGCACATGGTTATGCAGAAGCTGCTTCGGAAACAGGAGGTAAGGGGTTAACTCATAACATCCTCAAGAGAAATATTTGTTAGGAAAAATAAAGACGCCAACTATACCAGGGGTAGTAGAAACCTGAGGGGAGAGGAGCAAAGGGAGCCAGGATTCCAATTCACAGTACTCCAAAAGTAGAAGCTCAGGTGGGCAAGGCCATCAAAATATAAATTGAGTCCTTCGTTTTACCCAGAGGAATAGAATATAAAAGTCAGAAGTAATATTAAATCTTTAGAGGAGTCCTGTGGCGTAATGTTAGAACACTCGCCTCGGAAACTAGAAGACCTGAGTTTGATTTCCAGGTGGATTTTAAATCTCCCCTTCTCTGCTCAGAGAGTAATCCCAGCTTCTCTAATGTTTATGTTGCTGAAGACCTTCATCCCTGATACCATTCTAGTAAATCTCTGCATCCTCTCCAAGGCCTTGACATCCTTCGTAAATCTCTATAAAACCCTGACATTGTTTGTTGTTGCATTACTATGTACTGTTCTGGGTGCTATATTACAGGAAGTGTATTGGAGCAATATTATAGCTCGCTCTCCCTCTCTCCTCTCCAGAGTGGGGGTTGGTGTAGAGTTAAATACTGACAAGTGGCCGGTTTCCGTGTTGTAATGTTGCATGTATGCAAATACGTCCATTTGATCTCATATTTCAAGAACACCTGCCTGACCCACTTCCCATTATAGCATCAAGCTGTTCCTTAAATGAATTCCAGGATCCTGGCCTCAGTCACCTTCCTGGTGACCCTGATCCCCTCCCTCTCTGGTGTCTGTCCTAAAACTGCCCTTTACACTCCCTCTTACTTACACCCTCGGTATATTGGAAAGTATTGTTCTGGGTTTACTTTCTCAATCTCATTCAGCATTTATGTCATATAATATAATACTGTACTAACGGTTTCCCAGAGCTCATTCGTCCAACTCTGGGATCATCCTCAAGAACCAGGGCAGCCCTTATATTATAGGGACCCTTATAATAATAATAAAATATATATTATAGGGACATTAGCTGTACACAGTACTCCAGGATATGCTTTGTGCTGCTGTGGCCTGTTCAGAGTTGTACACAGTGCATGTTGCTGTGATGCTGCACAGGTAGATGACCGTGTCTTTCAGTCTACAGTCATGGTCTTACGGAACATGGTGGGTCCCGAGGATATTGACGACGACCTTGAGGGAGAGGTGACGGAGGAATGTGGCAAATTTGGGGCCGTGAACCGTGTGATCATCTACCAGGAGAAACAGGGAGAGGAGGAGGACGCTGAGGTCATTGTCAAGATCTTTGTAGAGTTTTCCATGGCCTCCGAGATGCACAAAGCCATCCAGGCGCTGAATGGCCGGTGGTTTGGTGGCCGCAAGGTTATCGCTGAGATTTATGATCAGGAGAGGTTTGATAACAGTGACCTCTCTGCGTGAACTCTTACGTGTTTATTCATACTCATGAACTGCAGCTGAAAGCATTCTGTAGACTTGCGACAGGCAGGCCTGGAGATTCCGAGACCTCCCAGTCTAATGTCTGGACCTCTCCCGACTCACGCTGGGTTGAACGCCTGGTGGGAAAAATGGATCCCATGGATTTTGACTTGAAGGGATGAATGTTTTTTTGCGTTGAGCACCACCGTTGCAGCACCCGATTCCTTCCGCTTGAACCATCAGTGGATTGAATGGATACCTGCAACGGTGCAGTGTAGTTTACCCGGCTCCTCGTTGCGCAGGTGGAGCGTTAACATGACATTCTGAGTGCTCTGACTTGACCAGCGGTTTTGATCCAAGGTTTTCTGTCTCTGTCTTGTCTTTTTGGGGCTGGCTGCATGCACAGGGCCCAGCTGAGCGGAGACGTTGGGAATTTATTTTCCAGTGAATATTCTTGGCGCCGGCCTGCAAGTGTGTGAAACCTTTGGACTGCGGTGCTCAGTGGTCTGTCAGCCATGTTTACCAGGTCCATGAAGTCCCCCTGTATATAGAGAGAAGCTGGCAGATACGGTGTTTCCATTGTTTTACCCATTCTTATACACGGAACAAACCTCGCTCCACTCCGGTTGCATTTCTTTGTGCTGTTTTTTTTAAAAAAAATCAGTTGTCTCTTAGTGGGTGGGCATTGTACAATATTCAATTGCCTCCTTTTCTATTAAAGATGAACATATTCTAGTTGTGACTGAGACGGTTTCTGATATTTCTCTTTTAACATTGCGAGGTAAAGGGGCGGGGGTGCCTTTGAACACCACAGGCTAAGTGGCTGAAATATTATCCTCAATTACGTGCGTCTCGCTGGGCCAATGGCATCCTCCTGATCTGACTGAGGTTTCTATGATCGAAACCTGATAGTCCAAGCAGGGCTAATTCACACTATTTGTTCAAATATTCGTTAAGTCCTGTAGCTCAGTGGTTAGAGCACTCAGGCCGAGGGAAACGTTGGGCAAGTTTCCTTAATCCACACGCCTCTGTTTACCTAGCAGTAAGTAGGAAGCTGGTTGTTAGTCGACTGGCGGATCGCTATTCCGGTGGGTAATAATCCCTTCAAAACAAATAAATAAACAAACAAATAATTTGGTCACTCAATCCACGACTGTTTGTGGGACGCTGCTGTGCGCATTTGGTTGTTGCGTTTCGCCCCCAAAATATGCAGACTTGACGGAAAGTATGACATTTTGTAAATGGAATTTGCTGACTACAAAATAAGTGGGGAGCAGGAGAGTTAGATTAGACATAAGTGACTCATGTGGACAAAATCACCAGGTTTGGATGCGGTTAATAAAGGGAATAAAGCGGGTGGGGGCAGAGAGGCTGAGGGAGCAAGGCGATGGAGGGCTTTGAAGGCGAGGACGAGGATTTTGAACTCTATTCTCGGGTATGGGGAGCCAGTGGAGTTGGGCGAGGCTGGGGGGGTGATAGAGTCATGGAGCCCGGCCCGGAAGGGGGCATGGGCTGCAAAATTCTGGATGATTTGCCTGGACAGGGAGGGTGGGGGCCTGGAGAGGGGTGGGGGCCTGGAGAGGGAGGAGGAGGATGTCAGGAGAAAGCTCTGAACTTGTTGAGTTCAAAAAATGGCGGGCGACAGTGATGCCGCTCGGCTGCTGTTGGCAGTTGGTCCAGAGGAATACGAAATGAGGTTCTCGGTGCTGGGACCAACCGAAGGTGACAATTCCCCTGCCGGCAGGTAGGTGGTTTGTGCCTCTCCGTCCGTTGAATGTAGGGTCAACGATGGGGCAGGACCAGGCGGCGGCTGTGGTCCGGGTCGGTGCCGCCATTTGACTTCGCTCCGCTTCGCGCTGCCTGCACGACCAGCCGCCATCTTGGTTCCCCCCCCCCCCCCCAAATGGCTGCTCGATGGCGTTGTCTGATGTCCACCGGACCATGGCTTCTCAAAGGTGAGCTGACTCGGGCTGGGTGGGGATGTGAGGACGAGGTCTGGTTAGGGCTCAGCTGTGACTGAATGGGAGACACTATCTGCCACAGAGCCGTAATCCGACACAAGGACTGTGTCCTCAGGTGAGAAGGAAATGACCATTAAAAGTAAGATAAATAGAAAGGAAATAGAAGGTCAGCTACAGAAAGGATCTGAAGCCCCCAGAAAACCCAACAGTATACGAACCCGTTACTGACCCACGCCAACAAAGGAAATTGTACTTTAACCTGTCTGCAGTAAGTCCCTTATCTGGGGTAGACAACCACTTGAATGATAAAGAATGGAAAAGTTTGGTGAGGGGGGGCAGGGTCATCGGGGGACAGCCAGATTTTTGCGAGCTCTGGGATGCCAATATGCTCATCCAGGATAAGGTGGATGGCGACAGTTTTGTTTATCACCCTTATCCTGGATGAGGGGAGCGGAGGTTTTGGAGGTCGATGTGGGTACAACAACAGCAACAACTTGGATTTATATAGCCGCCCTCCACGCCGGACGGCGGATCCTGGGACTGAGCCAGGGGGACGGGGGGGGCGGGGGGGGGAAGGTGACCAAAGGTGCGGTCGAAAAGAAAGGTCTTCAGCAGAGACCTGAAAATGGGAAGGGAGGGGGCGAGTGTAAGGGAGTGAGGAAGGTCAGGGTGGTGGGTTTCCATGTGTTAGACAGGGGCTGGGGTGAGGGGTGGTTGGGGATCTGGTGTACCCGGGTGTATGTCTTTGGGGGAGATGATGTGGGATTGTTGGGGGGGGGGGGGGCGGGGTTCTGGCCTTTGGCGACTTCCTGGGGTATGTTTTTTTGAGGAGGAGGGGAATGGGGATGAGGGTTGAGGGGAGTGATGATGGGGGTGAGGGTTTGGGGGGTGAGAGCTTGGGGGGGGTGACGGGGTGAGGGTTTGAGAGTGATGACAGGGGTGAGGGTTTGGGGTGATAGGGGTGAGGGTTTGGGGGTGATGATGGGGGTGAGGGTTTGGGGGGTGATGACGGGGGTGAGGGTTTTGGGGGTGATAGGGGTGAGGGTTTGGGGGTGGATGGGGGTGAGGGTTTGGGGGGTGATAGGGGTGAGGGTTTGGGGGGGTGATAGGGGTGAGGGTTTGGGGGGTGATAGGGGTGAGGGTTTGGGGGGTGATAGGGGTGAGGGTTTGGGGGGTGATAGGGGTGAGGGTTTGGGGGTGATGATGGGGTGAGGGTTTGGGGGTGATGATGGGGGTGAGGGAGGGGGGATGATGGGGGGAGGGGGGGAGGTTTGTGGGGTGATGGGGTGGGGGGGAGGGGTGGGGGGTGATGGGGGGAGGGTGATGGGGTGGGGGGGAGGGGGGGTGATGGGGTGGGGGGGAGGGGGGGGTGAGGGGGGGGGGTGATGGGGGTGAGGGTTTGGGGGTGATGGGGTGGTGGGGGTGATGGGGGATGGGGGGGAGGGGGGTTTGGGGGGTGTGGGGGAGGGGGGGTTGGGGGTGTGGGGGGAGGGGGGGTTTGGGGGGAGGGGGTTTGGGGGGTGAAGCTGACAGAGGCTTTGGCCGCTCTCAGGGGCCCAATAAACAAGGCGGCCACACCCACCGGGGACGGACTGCGCGGCGCAGTGTGCGCGGGAGAGGCCGCGGCTGTGGGTGAGGGGAGGCCGGGGCTGTGGGTGCGGGAGGCCGGGGCTGTGGGTGAGGGGAGGCCGGGGCTGTGGGTGAGGGAGGCCGGGGCTGTGGGTGGGGAGAGGCGGGGCTGTGGGTGAGGGAGGCCGGGGCTGTGGGTGAGGGAGGCCGGGGCTGTGGGTGAGGACCGGGGCTGTGGGTGAGGACCGGGGCTGTGGGTGAGGGAGGCCGGGGCTGTGGGTGGGGAGAGGCCGGGGCTGTGGGTGAGGGAGGCCGGGGCTGTGGGTGGGGAGAGGCCGGGGCTGTGGGTGAGGGAGGCCGGGGCTGTGGGTGAGGGAGGCCGGGCTGTGGGTGGGGAGAGGCCGGGGCTGTGGGTGAGGGAGGCCGGGGCTGTGGGCTGTGGGTCTGTGGGTGGGGAGAGGCCGGGGCCGGGGGTGCGGGAGAGGCCGGGGCTGTGGGTGCGGGGGGACGGGGCCGGGGCTGTGGGCTGTGCGGGGGGCCGGGGCTGTGGGTGGGGAGAGGCCGGGGCTGTGGGTGGGGGAGCCCGGGGCTGTGGGTGAGGGAGGCCGGGGCTGTGGGTGGGGAGAGGCCGGGGCTGTGAGGGAGGCCGGGGCTGTGGGTGCGGGAGGCCGGGGCTGTGGGTGGGGGGGGCCGGGGCTGTGGGTGAGGGAGGCCGGGGCTGTGGGTGGGGAGGCCGGGGCTGTGGGTGAGGGAGGCCGGGGCTGTGGGTGGGGGGGGGCCGGGGCTGTGGGGGAGGCCGGGGCCGGGGCTGTGAGGGAGCCCGGGGCCGGGGCTGTGGGGCTGTGCGGGGGGCCGGGCCCATGCCGCGATGCTGAAGTGTATGCCGCTCTGGCGGTGTAACCGTCACGTTGAGTGTGTGGATCGGCGGCACTGCTCATTGCAGACCGTCCCCGAGGAGATCTACCGCTACAGCCGCAGTCTGGAGGAGCTGCTCCTGGACGCCAACCAACTGCGGGAGCTGCCCAAGGTGATGGGGGCGGGGGCAGGGGGGGGGGCAGGGGGTGAGGGGGTACAAGAGGGCAGTGGGGAGCAGGGGGTGAGGGGGTACAAGAGAGGGCGGGGGGTGAGGGGGGAGCAGGGGGTGAGGGGGTACAAGAGAGGGCGGGGGGTGAGGGGGTACAAGAGAGGGCAGGGGGTGAGGGGGTACAAGAGAGGGCAGTGGGTGAGGGGGTACAAGAGAGGGCAGGGGGTGAGGGGGTACAAGAGAGGGCGGGGGGTGAGGGGGGGGCAGGGGGTGAGGGGGTACAAGAGAGGGCGGGGGGTGAGGGGTGAAGAGAGGGCGGGGGGTGAGGGGGTACAAGAGAGGGCAGGGGGTGAGGGGAGCAGGGGGTGAGGGTACAAGAGAGGGCGGGGGGTGAGGGGGGTGAGGGGGTACAAGAGAGGGCAGGGGGTGAGGGGGAGCAGGGGGTGAGGGGGTACAAGAGAGGGCGGGGGGTGAGGGGGGAGCAGGGGGTGAGGGGGTACAAGAGAGGTCGGGGGGGAGCAGGGGGTGAGGGGGTACAAGAGAGGTCGGGGGGGAGCAGGGGGTGAGGGGTACAAGAGAGGGCAGGGGGTGAGAGGGGGTCAGGGAAGGAGAGGTGGGTCGGGGTGAGAGAGGGACGGGGCTGAGAGAGAGGGGACGGTGGAAGCGAAGTGGGGTGCGGTGGGAGAGGGGCAGTGGAGTTGAGAGGGAGAGGGGGTCATGGGGGGAGAGTTTCAGGGGGGAGAGAGGGTCGGGAGGGGACGGTGGAAAGGGTGAGGGAGAGGGGGTCGGGGGAGGGGGGGGTTGTGGGGAGAGATAGTGGGGCAGTGGGGAGAGTCGGGTGGGGGGGGGGGAGAAAGTCAGGGAAGGGGTCAGGGGAGAGAGGGTTGGGGGGAGATGGGGGGCAGTGGGGAGAAAGTCGGGGGGTAGGGGAGAAGAGAGGGTCTGGGGGGGGGTAGAGGTAGAGGTAGAGGGGTTCAGCGGGGAGAGAGATTCAGGGAGGGGGTTGGTGGGGGAAGGGAAGGAGGGGGAGAGGCAGAGAGAGAGAGAGAGAGAGTCGCGCACTAATTCATGTACTTCTCCATATTTCTGTCCGAAACAAAACAAAACAAAACTAAACCGTGTTTGAGGACGTGTTCCCTCAAAAAAGCCGCTTCTCTTTCTCCGGTTAAACCGTCTCGAGCCGTAAAGTTTGTGTTCCAGAAACTGCTCCGGCAGTTTCCGCAGTATTGGTGCGTCCGGTCCGTATTTCCGTCTCTCTGCCCGTCCCGTTTGCCCGTCTCTCTTTCTCTCGGCCCCTGTGCGCGTGTGTATCTGTGCGTCTCGCTGTCCCTCTCTCTCTCCCTCTCTCTCTCTTAACCTATTAATTAATCGGCGGCCGCCTTCGCCCACAAACACGCAGTCGATTCACTTTACGGTACGTTCCCGTGGAGCGCTTTGGGACGCCCCGGAAGACGTGAACAGCGCCACATCAAATGCAAGGGCTATTATTCTTGTTGTTGTTGTTGTTGTTGTTATTAATGGGTGAGGTGCTTGCCGTCCCTGACCGCTGGCAGGGATCAGGCCCCTCGCTCTTGACGCCTGCTTCAGTGCGGTGACTTCGAACAGCAGCTGCAGCAGCTCGTACGCAGGCGAGTCCTGCAGTGTAGGGGCCCCGAGCGCTGTGAGGACAATGCCGGGCTTTTCTCTCCTCTCCTGCACTTCATTTGGATTGCAAATAATCAGCGCGCCCGAGGCTCAGAGAGCTGCTGTCTCTCTCTCTCTCTCTCCTCTCTCTGGCTTTGGGGTGACTTGGACATCCGTCCAAAGCCGGGAGGAAGGGTGGTGGTGGGGTGGGGGGGTTCCGGTGCCGTGAACGGAGGGGAAAGTGGGAGAGGGGTTGTGCGGTGGGGTGGGTGGGTTGCAAGGTGGTGACTGGGATGCGTGGGAGTGGGAGGGCGGTTGCGTGTGGGGGGTGTAAGTTTGAGGGCGGTTGTTGGGTGGGGTGGGGTGGTGGGGGGAGTGAGTAGTTGGGCGGTTGTTGGGGAGTGAGTGGGACAGTTGGTGGGTGGGTGGGTGGGGAGGGGGTGGGGGCTGTTTGCTGCCGTGCTGAAATCTCCTCTTTGGCCACAGCCCCTCTTTCGATTGCTGAACCTGCGTAAACTGGGCCTGAGTGACAATGAGATCCAGCGCTTGCCCCCGGAGGTGGCCAACTTCATGCAACTCGTGGAGCTCGACATCTCCCGCAACGGTAGCTCTCTCCCTCTCTCTCTCTCTCTCTCTCTCTCTCTCTCTCTCCCCTGTTTCTTTTTTTATATTGGCGTGCCTGTAGTACAGTGGTTAGAGCACGCGCCTCGCTAGTGAGAGAGCCCTGGTTTGATTCCCAGGCAGGACGAAACATTGGGCAAGTTTTCTTACTCCACAGATCGGCCTTGATCTGGCCTCAGCTGGAGTATTGTGTCCAATTCTGCGCAGCACACGTTAGGAAGGATGATAGGGCCTTGGAGAGGGTCCAGAGAAGATCTGTAAGAATAATACCAGGGACGAGGGACTTCAGTTACGTGGAGAGACGAGAGAGGCTGGGATTCTTCTCCTTAGAACAGAGAAGGTTGGCAAGAGATTTAATTTAATAGAGGTGTTCAAAATTATGAAGGGTTTTAATCGTTGCATTTGAAGTAGATCGGGAGAAACGTTCCTCTGGCGGGTGATTTTGGTAACCAGAGTACAGAAGTACAAGAGGGGAGACCGGGTGTTTTTTTTCCCCCAGAAAGTTGTTGAGGTCTGGAAAGCACTGCTTGAAAAGGTGGTGGAAGCATATTTGATGGTAGCTTTCAAAAGGGAATCAGATAGGTACTTAAAACGAAGAGTTTGCAGGGCTATGGGGTAACAGCGGGGAAGTGGGACTAGTTGGTAGCTCTTTCAAAGAGCCGGCACTGGCACAATGGGCCGAAAGTGCTTTAAAATTCCTTACGTGCTTTAAAATTCGATGAGACCTGGAGCTTAGTGGTTTAAAGCGCTCGCCTCGCAAGTGGTGGGGCCTGGGTTCGATTCCAAGCAGGGCGAAACATTGGGCAGGTTTCCTTACTCCCCACGCCTCTGTTCACCTCGCAGTAAGTTAGGAACCTGGTTAATAGTCGATTGGCGGATCGCTTTTCTGGGGGGTAATAATTCCTTCAAGATAAATTAAAATAATTTGGTCACTAAATCCGTGACTGTTTGTGGGAGACTGCGTGTGCAATTGGCTGCCGTGTTTTGTCCACAAAATATACAGTCAATTCACTTGGTAGTATATTTTGTGAAGTGCTTTGAGACATCTCGAAGACGTGATAAGACACTGTTTCAAATGCAAGGATTATCATTATGATTTAGGCGTTCTGAGACGCTACTCTACGTGGAGGACGTTATGTAAGTGAAAGCTGTTGTTGCTGTTCTATGAACAGACTCGAGGGGCTGAAAGGCTTACTCCTGTCCCCTCTCTCTCTCTCTCTCTCTCTCTCTCTGGAGATCAGTGAGGGCGACCAGGCCACTGATCTCATTCGGCAGCTCCTCCAGTTTGTTCTCAGACACATCGAGGCACACCAACCGCCTTAGGTTCCCCAGCTCCTGCACAGCCAGCACAACACAGGGCAGCTCAAACACAGGGCAGCTCAACGCAGGACAGCACAGCTCAATATGGGGATGGGCGGGCACGGGGAGGGGGGGACGGGGTGGCATCGATTGGGATGTTCAGGGATGGTGAGCGTAAGTGGAAAGTGTGATCTCTTACCGCCGGCAGTGCAGTGAGCTGGTTCCTGTCCAGCCACAACTCCCGAAGATTTGGCAAGGCTCCGAGTGTGTCTGGCTGAAAAACAATGAAGCAGGAATCGTTGGCGTACACTGAGAAAACCGCGATCTCGGCGCGCGTGAAAACATCTATCCTAAGCTCCCCATTTGCTAACGATCTTAAAGTGATGATAGCATTCGCTAAATTACACATATATAGTGGAGACTTTTCTCAAAAGACCTCCTGGACCACTTCCCGTGCAACGTTGGGCAACTGTGTGGAGCACACAGGAAATGACATTGCCGCGACCCGATGACATTGAGCAGAGGTCTCAAGACTTGGTGGGTCCTGTGATGGGTGAGGTCAATGACTGCCAATTGTTGACAAGTTGGCAGTTTATGGACCATAATAGGGTTCACAGTTTTTAAGCCCCTTATGTTGAGCTTTAAGTCCTGTACTCCAGACAAAGCTCATTTGCTTTTGAGTTTTTTATCATGTTAATCACTTGTATCCCCAAATCAACAGGGTGAACTCATGCTGTCCTCTTTGAAATGGGAAGGTCGACGCTGGACACAGTGTGAAACTATGCTGCCCCTCTCCCTTCATCTCTACAATGAAACATGCCCTGTTCCTGGAGAAATGAAATGCTACTTTTATTTTCTATTCAACGTCCTGACATACATTTAGAATGATAGAATCATAGAATATTACAGCACACAAGGAGGCCATTTGGCTCATTGCGCCGGTAGAAAAAAATGTTCTATCCATCTCCCCTCTGGTTCTTTTGCCAATTATCTTGAATCTATGTCCCCTGATTACCAACCCACCCACCAGTGCAAACAGTTTACTCACAAAATACAAATTGCACAAATATAGCGCCTTTGACATCGGGAGGATATCGCAAGGACCCAAAAGAATTGATGTCCATTTTAAACCTATATCTACCAAGAGTAACTGTGAAGCATTATGAGATGTTTCAAAGCACAAGGAGCTATAAGAATTCAATAGTCTACCCCTCGCATCTCCCTCAGCCCCAGTCAGGGTCATTACCAGAACTTCCAGTTCATTGCTTCCCAAATCCAGTTCTTCCAGCTTCACCAGGAAGGACAACGACCTAGAAAATTAGAAAACATTCAGCACCTCACAACCACCGCCGCCAGTCTAATAGGCCCGCGCCCCTGTGCCAGAGGGGTGCCGGGCCGGGAGGGTGGGAGGGGGCAGTGTCCAGGGGATGTGGCCACAAATACTCACGTTGGTAGAAACTTCAGGAGATTCTCTCTTAATTCCAGAGTCACCAGATTAGCTAAACTGCAATAAAAGAAATCAAGTCACTCCCACCCCGATCAGCCTCGCCTCCCATGACCAGCCCTGCTCCCCACAACCAGCACCCCCACTGACCAGCCTCGCCCCACACATCGACCAGCCCCGCCGCCCCCCATACACACACCCACTAGCACCACACACCCCCCACAAACACCAACCAGCTCTGCACCCCCACAGACAGACCTTATTGTCCCCACACACACTCTCCTACTATTTCCACACTCCCCGTTCAGCTGAGCATAGGGTTCATGAGTGACACTAGAGCATCTGAGGCTGAGGGGAGAGGTTCAGCTCAGCACAGTTCCCGGCCACTGTATCAGGCTTTCAATGGGAGGGTGTCACTTACTTGCCGATGTCATTTGGCAGGGACTGTAGAGAGACATCATTGAGGGAGAGATGTGCCAGGCTCCGTAACTGTGTGAATCCATCCGGGAGCCTGCAGAGAGTGAAAATGCTGCACTACATCACAGTGTTATTGGTCAGCCTGGTGCCTGACATGTTGAAACCCATCACCGTGCTTTAAAGAATCCAAACCGGATTGACACACACAACAAATATATGTGGAAATTTCACTGTGTCTGGAATGGAACATGCCTCCAAATCAGGTAGTCTACTTGCCTGAGCATTAGGTGCAAGTTGATGAGAGCTAAGGAATGCAGAGGCATGACTGTTGGAGCGTAACCAGAATAAACCACAAAGCTTGCCATTGAGAGCCCTGCCCGGCAAGCCTTCCCACTGCTTGTTCAGCTAGGACTTTCCGCGCTACACCCACCACCTTGAACCAACCAGTGGGACATAGTGGTGGGTGTCCGGAATCATGGTTCTGCACAGCCCAATGGAAGACATTGAGGGAATTGATTGGAAGATACAAGGGCCATCAGCCCAATTGTTGATTCTTATCGGTCCCTTGTTGTGTTGGGACACCAAATTCGGCCTGGACACTGCCCTGAAGGACTACGCTGAGAAGGGGCAAAGGGCACTCCTCGAGGACAGCAAGGTCCCAATATAGGCCAAGCTTGAGGCATACGAGACCTGTGTGCAAACAATCCTCCTTTATGGGTCTGAACTGCTGGGGATGGAGCGGAGAGGCTTCCTCCGACCCATCTGCAAAGTCCAGGATGCGCGTCCTTGGAACTGTAACTCTAAGCAATGGAACGTCAGATGTGAGCCAGCCCTCTGTGGTGGTCTCACTAGCTTCCTGTTGGATACATTCCGCATGTTTCTCGCTCCTGGACCAGGCCGCTCTGCAGTAATCTTGGGCGCTGCTGATGACAGCAGAGCCAGCCTAACTCATTGGCAGGATTGACAAGTCGATGGGAATCATCCCACTCAGCTCCTGTTAACCCTGCAAGCCAAAGCCCTAACGAGTAGGCCGCTCCAAGCTGGAAAAGCAGCAGGAAAGCTTGTCAAGACAAATATCAATGGCAAGCTATAGGGTTTTAGCTGATAAGACTCCAGCAGTACCTCAACATTCTGGAGTCCCCAAGTCTTGGTTCTTGCCAATCTGCTCCTAATACTTTCCAGAATTAGTTAAGCGGGATGCTCCCTCCAGGGAGAGATTGCACATTCTATTCCAACAATCTATCTCAGGGATTTCCACGCGCAGGTGGGAAGCATGGAAATCTCAGTTTGGTTGGATACTTAAGCATGGTGACGGGTTTCCGCATGTGTCAAACTCCCGGCTGACTCCCCACTCCCAAAAAAATGAAGCCACCCTACCCGTTAGGGCTTTGGCTTATAGGGTTAGCAGGAGCTGAGTGGGAGGATTCCCTGCCCCCAGTGACTGGTCTGCTCTTCCAGGTCCTGCCGATGTGTCAGGCTGGGCTGTGCTGTCATTAGCAGAACTGTGGACCTGCCTGGGCTCAGGAAACAGAAGAGAGACCACCATAGAGGGTAGACTCAAATGCTAAGCACGTCACCACGTTAGCTCCAAGGAAACCCTGCTTACCCTCCCCAAAAAGACACTATTTGTCTCCCCCACCCCAGGAAGACAACATGAAGCAAATCCTGCTGTCCTTATAAGGATTCTTACATTTGATACAGCATCTTTTACATCAGTCTTACACGGCTGAGCATAAGGCGACAGTTGGCAAAAACCAAGGCATGGGGAGGTATGATTTGTGGACTGCTTCACAGGATATAATAATCCTTGCATTTGATATAACACTTTTCATGTCTTCTAGATGTCTCAAAGCGCTTCACAGAATATACTGTAAAGTGAACTGACTGTATATTTGTTGGCGAAATGCGGCAGCCAATTGCGCACAGCAATGTCCCACAAACAGTCGTGGATTGAAGTGACCGATGTATTATTGTTTTTTTTTCTTGAGGGATTATTATTAGGCGTGTGGAGTAAGGAAACTTGCCCAAGGTTTTGCCCTGCCGGGAATCAAACCCAGGTCTCTCGCTTGATAGGCGAATGCTCTAACCACTGAGCTACATGCACTGTAAAGTGTAGTGTCTGTGTACCTTGTGGGCAAACCCAAACTGTGCACAGCAATTTCCCACAAACAGCCATGGAGTGAGAGACCAATTTTATTTGGAGATTGTTGGCCAGGATACTCTTTTAGAGCCATGAGATCTTTAACATCCACCTGAACAAGAACACACAGGACCTCGATTTAAAGTCTAACCTGAAGGACAGCCACTTCTCATAATGCAGCCCACCGCCAGCACTGCACTAGAGTCAGCCTGGACTATGTGAGTTCACAGGGACGAATAGACAGATAAGATGGAGAGAGGCCAGCGCACCTGGAGAGAGGATTCCCGCTGAAATCTGCTATCTCCAGGGACTTGCAGAATTTAATGCTCTCTGGGATTTCCGGGATATCTGTGGAGGCAAAGTAGGGACAGCTAAAAACAGACACAGAAGGGTGAAAGAGACTGAGTGGGGACAGAGAGAATGGAAAAGAAGGGGAAGGGGGGAGAGAGAGAGAGACAGAGAATTGAGAGTGATAAAGAGACAGAGGACAGAG